CCCAGCACCGACCTCCCTCCCCCCCTTCCTCACACCCCACATCAGTTCCCAGGAGACCCCGCTGGCCAGAGCCTGCCCAGGGAGGTGTCTCCCTCCCCCTCGCCTGGCCACCCCGAGTGCCCCTCCAGGGCCCCCTGACCGCCTCTCCGGCAGCGCCTCCCCCCAGCCCCCTGGCCTCTTCCTTCCGGGGACACCCTGGGCCTGCTCTGACCCCAGGGACACACAGAGCTTCCAGCCTGCTGGCTTCTCGGCTTCCTCCCACCCTGGCTGTGCTTCTAGAGGAACAGAAAGTGAAACCGAGATGCTGGGCGCGGGGGCTCCTCCTTCCACCCTGGGGGCGGGGGGCATCCTGCTGCTGAAGGCAGGGTGGGTGAGACCTGCCCAGGCCCCCGGGTCTGGGGCAGTGGGAAGGGAACGTGTGGAAAGTTCCAGGCCACCCCGGGCCTAGGGGGAGAGTGGCTGGCTTTTCCAGGGGCGATGTCGTGCTGGTCCCACAGTGGTGGGGGTTAGGGGACCTTCCTCACCCCAAGTCCCCTCTGCTCCAGCCAGTGCCCCAGGGGACTCAGGTGGGACTTTCAGGTGGGACTTTGAATACTGGAAGGTTATGGACAATATATATTTTTTATTTTCTGCATTTCTACATTGTGTGGGTTTTTTTTGAAACCCTGCAGGAGGCCAGGGTGGGGGTTGGGGGCACTGGGGCCCAAGCTGGCTACTCTGTCCAGGAGCAGGAGGATTCCAAGGCCTTCTTGGGACAGTCACTTGCTTTCCCCTGACATCTGACCCACGGGCATCTGCTGTCGGGGTGGAAGATGTTTCCTTCCACCCTTCCAGGCTCTTTGGCTGATTTAATAAGTAAATTGACGTAAGATCAGATTAGCAGAACAAAAACATTTAGGAACGTGAGTGCCTCCCGTATACCTGGGAGAGGCCCAGGAAAACTGAGTGAAGCCACCACCTTAAACCATCTTGGGGGGAAGACAAGAGGAGGTGCCTGGGGTGGGGAGTCAGGGCGACCGGGAGTCTCTGGGCAAGGTCACTACGCCCATTGAAGCGGCTGCCCTCACTTGGATAAGAGCTCCTGGAGATGAGGTCCCTGTCCTCCTGCGGCTGTGAGGGGGGGACCCCGACAAGTGGAGGTTTCCCCCACAAACACAAATGTCTCTCCCACAAGGTACCTCCTCAGTGTTCAGAGCCTCCTGTGACTGCCCTTTCTTAGAAACAGCTCAAAATAATACCCAGAGGGTAGGGTGACAGATTCTTCCCTTCACGGCCTTTGTAGAGTCTGAAAGCAACCCGACGGTGACAGCGGTCCCCGAGGGGGAGATGGAGAGCGGACAGGAGCTGATGGAGGAAGGTGGCCCCAAGGTGACGGCGGTCCCCGAGGGGGAGATGGAGAGCAGACAGGAGCTGATGGAGGAAGGTGGCCCCAAGGTGACGGCGGTCCCCGAGGGGGAGATGGAGAGTGGACAGGAGCTGATGGAGGAAGGTGGCCCCATCCCATCCCTGGGCTCCAGTGACCAGCAGGAAGATCTGGACAAGCCTGGCTCCCAGGCCTCCAGGACCAGCAGAAAGGTGAGTGCAGGCCCCTGGCAGGTGGGCTCCTGGTTCTGCCCAGGTGCTGTTTCCTACTATGGTTCCCTCTGCTGCTGGCCGTGGTTCCCTGTGTCCCCACACCACTGCCCCAGAACTGCCCACTGCAGCCCAGCCATTGACCCCTGCATGCTGGGCAGTGGCAGAGCTGCCCTCCTTTCCCTGTCCCTGCTTTGTCACCTGGTCTCCAGGTTCCTGTCCCTCTGGGGTCTCCACCTGCCATTTCCTCCCACCAGACCCGGCACACCACGGCCCAGTAGCTGCAGCTGGGCAGGTCTGGATGGCTGTGCTTCTGCCCCGTGGGTGTCTGCCCCTCTCTGGTCCTCTTTGCATTGATAGTGCTGACCCCAAAGTGCCTCTAAGCTCCAGGGACAGGGCAGGTACTCGGGAAAGACCTCAGGAAGCTGTTGTTTTCTGACAAGTGTCAGACCCCAAGTGACCCCTGGGTAAGGGACCAGGCCGGAGCCCCAGGCCGGGCTTGCAGGGCAGTTACCCAGGCAGGGTCAGGGAGAATCGGGAGAGGCCCCTGTGTCAGATCGGCAGAATATACATTTTTTGGTGAGCCGCAGACCCCTAGTCATTAGTTTCTGTGCCGTGAGACGAAACGGGTGGGGACCGCTGCCCCCGTTGCTGCTTTGGAGCCACCGCTCAGGTGCAGAGGGGCGCCTCCCGCTTCGTGCGCGTCCTCTCAGTTCTACAGCAGAGCAGCGGTCGCTCAGGAGCTCAGGCCCCTGCCCCGGGGACAGGGCCGCAGGGAAAGCGCTCTGGCCCAGCCCTGTGCCCAGGTGCTGGCAGGAGGTGTTGGGCTGGGTGCCGGGGGGGGGCACCTCTCGGCCCTGGGGTCCTCCTGATCAGCACCCGCACTCCTCGCATTCCCTCCCGCTAGCCTGTGCTCTCACGGGCTCTCACAGGCTCTCACGGGCTCTCAGCCCTGGCAGTGGGTGCCTCTTTGGGGTCCCCAGCTGCCCCTTCCCCACCGGGTACTCCCCACCTGGCACTTGAGTGAGCGAACTGGGCCGCCTGCCTCCCTGGGCCAGACCGAGGCCTCTGAGTGAGGGTTTGCTTTTTTGGGTGGAAGAAGCTGATGCTGGTCGTAAAATCACAGGTGCCTGTGACCAAAAAACCCTGAGACTTAGCAGACTATTTTCTAGTTCCCTGTGCACTCAGAGCGAGCATCGCACGGCTTTTAGGTTGAGTAAAATGCACAATAGCCGGGGCAGAGCCTGCTGCATGTGCAGCGTGTGCAGCCGTGTGCAGCCGTGTGCAGCCGTGTACACCCCCCCATCCAGAGACGGAACATCTCAGCCCCCAAAGGCTCCCTCGTGTCTCTCCCCAGACAAAAAGTCCTTCATTAAGAAAAACGTTTTAGTGAAATGTTAAGTCCACGTGAAGGACATTTGTAACATAGATGCAGGGTTAGTAAACGGAGCACCGCTTCTGCTCCACTCACCTGCAACATGGACATCGCTAAGCTACTGGGTTCTGCTCCCAACCACCCCAACCGCTCCCCCCCACGTCTCACTTGTCCCTGCTGTCCGGGCGTGTCCCAGTCACAGGGGCGTTTGCGTTCACCGTGCACAGTCCTGACTCCTGTGGTCCTCACTTTGCCTTTTGGGAAATGGCCATATTCGGAATGGGCCAAATTAAAGACCACGTTAGTTAGGAAGGCACACGTATGTGTATGTGTGGCGAGGACCGTATGTGTACAAAGCTTACATATATAAACCACATTAAAACTTGACTCTTGTCAAGGGAAAGTTTAGGCTTCAGCCCCAAGCCCTGCATGCTGGGCGTGCTGGGCTGGTCAGATGTGTGGCAGGTGCTGGGTGCACCCCAGCCCCCCTAAATGTAGTTGAGAACCGTACATCACTGGTGCACAATCCGAGTCCTGTTCTAGAAGGTCTCGAAGCAGCTGACAGGAAACGTGTAAAATAAGACCAAGAAAAAGAGAGAAGCCAGGCAAGACCACGAAGACAGACCCCACGTCAGAGGGGCCCAACCCACGGCAGGACCTGAGGGTGCGGCCCCGACGGCCGCCAGTGGGGGGGGCGTGCGGGCCTCCGGGACGCAGAGCTCGATGCAGGGGCGTTTGCCTAATGAAACGGAAGCCTCGGGCACCTGTGGTGGCCGGGGCTCGGGACCCTGGATACAGCAGCAAACACAGCAGACTCTCAGACGTCCGTTCCGGAGGGGAGAGGAAACGAGCAAATGCATGTGTTGTGTGTGTGCATGCATGTGCGTGCGTATGCATATGAGTGTGCATGTATGTGCGAGTGTGTATACGTGGGTGCAGGTGTGCGTACACGTGTGCATGTGTGCACGTGTGTGTATACATGTGCCTCCGTGTGTGTGGCATGCATGTGCGTGAACATGCGTGCATGTGTGTCTAGATGTGTGCGTGTGTGCTTGTGCGTGTGCATGAGGGGGTGACATGAAACAGGTGGCAGCTGGGAGGCCTGGAATCTTCCTCCAGGGCTGCCCAGGGTGGCCGTGTGTAGTGCTTGTCGTCGGCAGGTCCACAGGAGGTCTGCCCAGGCTCACTGGAGGAAAACCAGGAGCCCAGGCAGAACAAGGCTCCCCCACCCCATGCGTGGACCCACCCTCTGCCCTCCCGTCCCCCCACCCCAGCTCGCTCAACCCAGGCAGGTGCGGACCCGCAAGGCCAGGGGGCCACAGGTCACTCGCAGAGCATTGTCCGGGTGGGTCCTCGGACGGTCCCGCCACACCTGCTTCTCACAATTGCACTTCTGATTCCATAGCTGGGAGCTGTCGCCTCTGAGCCAGGGTCTCCTGCACGGGGCTCCGCGGGCCTGCGCACGGGCGGGGTGGAACCGTGCTCTCTAACGTCCCAACACCGTCCTCATGGGGCTGTCCCATCTGAAGGAGGTTCCCGGGGGGGTTGTCCGCAGTGCTTTGGCCGCACTGCCAGCCGCTGGTCCCTCAGTTCTGTCCACCCACCCCTTTCCTTTTGTGTCTCAACTTCATTCTTTCCAAGATGAAGAGGTGGCAGGTCCCTTGGGTGTCAGGTGGTCAGTGTAGCTGAGCTTGACCGTCTTGAGCAACTGAAAGGAAATTGGAGGGAAACGTGGATGAGAGTCGAATGCACCTAAGAGGTAAAATTAGCGTCTCTTTTTCTGTCTAGAGCAAGAGGAACAAAAGGAAACGCAACGCCTCCCATTCCACAGGGCCGGAGTCCCTGTCGCCCTGCCCCTCCATCCCATGTAGTCTGGATTCGCTTGCAAACCCTGGGGTCCAGGACGCAGCCCTGCCCCAAGGCGCAGCTCAGCAGGGTGGTCCTCCCAGCGATGGCCGCAGAGGGTCCCCGCAAGGCCAGGCCGCGGGAGGAGCAGAGGCGGCCTCGAGAGCCAGCGTGGCCGCCCAGGATCAGACACCCGGAGGTGCCCTCCCAGGAGTGAAGGGCCAGGGCGGCGCCAGCCCCTCCGCCTCTGCCGGTGCCGGTGTTCCCGGGAAGGAAGGCGCTGCCCCGGAGCTCCCGCTGCCCCAGTCGCCGGGGGGCCGCTCTGAGCCCAGGACTGAACCGCAGGCTGATGGGCAGCGGGCCGGGGACCCCGCCTCTGGGGTGAGTTGTGGGGGCGGCATGGTCGTGTGGTGGGGTTCCAGGGTCGCCTCCCTGTCTTAGAATCACGTTGTCCTCTGGGACCTGCTCTCCACCCCGAACCGCTGACCCCATCACGGGGCCACTGACCCCATCACCAGGCTGGAGACCACGCTGACCCTGACGCCAGGGAGCCACAGTCTCCCTGTCCGTGTTGTCTCCTTGGCTCTGATGTTTTGGCGGCTTTATTTCTTCCAGACAACTGAGGTCGTGGCCGAGCCAGCGAAGCCGGGGAAGGCGCCTGAGAAGGCCGTCCATCAAAAGACTCAGAAACCGAAACAGCAGGCCGCCAGCGCCCCCGCTCCCCAAGAACCCCACCAGGTGGAGTGTCCCGTTGTGCGGGAGGGTGTCCGCGTCCCTGCAGCCTGTCCCACGGTCGCTCCTTTTGGTCCCGTCCCTGCCACCGCTCATCTTTCATTCAGCTCCTCACCGAATAGGTGGTGGGGTGGAGCGTGAACGGACCCGCTCCTGCCTCTGAGCTCATGCGAGAGGGGGGAGAGACGGGCCATGGGGAAGGAGGGTGAGGGCTGGAGGACACCGGGGCGGTGCCCAGGGGTCGTGGCCAGGCAAGGCCTCTCCGAGGAGGGGTCTGCAGTGGACACCTGGATGGGGGAGAGCAGGCCACAGGGAGATGAGGGCCGCGTCCCTTGCAGAGGGAATGGCACGTGCAGGGCCCTGAGGCAGGGATCAGCAGGAAGGTGGTGCCCTGCAAGGGGTGAGGGGAGGAGGTTGGGTGCGAGGTCCTTGGAGGCCGTGGTGGGTGCCCCGGACTGTTGGGGGCAAACTTGGAGGCTGGTGTTAAAGGTTGGGGTTGGTGATTTATCCCAGAAAGCCAAAACCAAGGGCAAGACCGCCGTTCCTGAGGCAGAAGCCAAGCCAGAGGACCCGAAGAAGCCTGAAGGGAGTGACAGGACCCACCTGGCTGCTGCGCAGAGCGAGAAGGACCAGGAGAGCCTGAAAGCTGAGGCCGGCGACCTCACGGGGAGGTAGGGTGCAAGGCAGCCCGCCCGGGGTGCAGGCTCCGCCCACAGAGGGGGTTCCCAGGAGGTGGGCCGGGAGGGCTGCCTGTTCGTGTCACGCCTGGTCCAACTGCGCAGTCACCTAGTCCCCGGGGCCCCAGAGGCAACAAGGGCCTTGCAGAACTCGGAGAGAGGCTGGAACTCAGGGCGCTGGTCAGCGCCTCCCACCGTTGCCCCAGCCCCCGGAGAGGGCACAGGCTGTGCCCTGCCCTGCGCCCCCCACCCCTGCAGAGAGGGAGTCGGGAGAGACTCACAGTGCGGGGTGTGGCCAGAGTGTCGAGGCACTTGATTGTTGCTGGGCGTGTGTTAATGCATGGTGAGGAAACGAGGATCCCGTGTATGCACACGTGCACGTGTTTGTGTGTGACCGTGCATGCGTGTACTTGTGCACGTCTGTGCATGTGTGAGTATATGTGCGTGTTTGTGTGTGCGCGCTTGTTCGTGTGTGCATGAGTTGTGTGCACGCTTGTGTGTGCGTGTTTGTGTGTGTGTTTTGCGCGCGTAGGCGGGTGGGTAGGAAGATCCAGGTGTAACTGCCGTCTCCTGGTGGCTTTCCTGCAGCCCCCTGGGCCCCGGGGAAGGAGTCAGGGTGTACTTCCACGCCATCCTCTCCAAGGACTTCAACTTCAAGCCCGAGCACCACAGCATATTTGTCCGGGGGGGAGAAGAACTTGGGAAGCCAGAGTGGAACCATAAAGTGTGCGAGTTGCACTGCACCAGGTGAGTGTCCTGGGGTTTGTGCGCAGCTCCTCGGGAAGTTGCCCGCCGTCCAGACTCTGACGTCGGTTGCAAGAATATTTTTGAGCAAAGTCGATTTCACCCTCAGACTTCTGGAAAATGACTTTTTCAAAGAGCTCTTCCCCTTAACGCACTTGTCCTGTGTCACCACGGCCCCGGATCTGCCCGCGCTGTCTGGGAACCTGGCCTCGTTCCGGAAGCATCCCCTCAGCCAGCACCGCTTGGTGGCTCTTGGTCTGCACTCCGAGCTCTGTTTGAGAAGAACTGAAACTTCCAGGAGGGTTTTGCGATGACCGGATGGTGTCCTCTTTGTCCACAGAGACTTAGGTGAGCACGGGTCCCTTGTTGAAGGCAGCACCGTCCTTTCCAAGCAGCTCCTGGACAAACCCATCCCGTACAAGTACGTGGTCTCGCGTGGCAAGAACTCCATCCAGTACGAGTTTATCTTCAAGCAACCGGAGAAAGAAAAGGAGCACGTCAACCGCTGCCTGCTGGTCAGGTCGTCCCTGCTGGGCTCCGGAGGTGAGTCCCGGGGCCGTGGCGGGTCAGGAACCGGCGCTGGGGCGCGTCTCAGGAGGGCAGCCCCGTGGGTCCTGTCTGCGCGGCACTGGCCCCATCCCCGGCTCCATGTGCAATAAACCTGCGCTCCAAAGCGAGTTTTCATCCGTTTAGCCTAAGTGCGGTGTGTGATGAAGGTTTGCGTTTCCCAAGGACAGGTTCCAGGCACTTCCGGGCCGGAGGAATCGGGTGCCCTCAGTCTCACCTACCCCCGGGCGGTGCCCACCCACCTCTCCTAACCCGAGCCGTGCCCCGCCCAGGGCCAGGCCCTGTGCTGCTGACCTGCGGTGGGCACCGGCCTTCCCTGAGCACAGCTCCTGGCCGTCCACCCTTCCTCGGCTCCCCGGGCTCACCCCATTCCCGCGGGTCGGGAGCAGCCCCGCAGGGCAGAGCGCCCAGGTCGGGCGGGCTGTGACCCCCCCTCTCCCTCCTAGAGTGGCATCAGTATGATGACATTATTTGCATGAGGCCCCAGGGGAAGCTGCAGGAGATCATCGACAATATCCGGCAGCGGTTCACGGACCAGGGGAAGAAAAACGTGAGAGCGAGGCAGATCGCCACCCGCGTCATGCTGGACGGCATCTTCAGCATCCTCGAGGCCTGGAGCGCCATCAACCTGAACAGCTTCTTCACGCAGTTCCGCCAGTTTTATTCTGTGGTCGGCACGCCCATGGTCTACGAAGCACAGGCCCAGCCCTGGAGCTCCCTGAATTACCAGGAGAAGGAGGTATCGGGGTTCGGGGGCTACAGCCATTCCCTTCTCTACCTTGTGGACGGCCAGTGGCCCCCCACCTCCTGGTGGCCAGTTGACCCCTACACTCAGTGGGCAGCTGCAGGTGGGGGCAGGTGAGCCTTCAGCCCATTTTCTCCAAAAATTCTCTTGGAAATTCTTTGTTTTTCCTATTTTCTTCCTCCTCCTCCACTGGCCCCACCTCTCACCTGCCCCACC